TGCTGAAGGTTCAAGAAATTCAAAAAGTCCATAAAGTCAGGGAAATGGGTAATGATGAATCGCTGGAGCTTTTCAGTTGGCATTCCTTTGGGGAGGACCACCCAGCTGATGACTACATGGAACTATCAAAAAGGGTGGTAAAGCATTGTGGAGGGCTTCCTCTGGCACTTCAAGTATTGGGTTCTTCTCTTCGTGGGAAAAATATTGATGTATGGAAGAGTGCATTAGACAAGTTGGAAACAATTCCTGCAAGCCAGATCATTAAAAAACTAAAATTTGGGTATGACTCATTAAAAGATGATCATGATAAGAATTTGTTCCTTGACATTGCATGCTTCTTCGCAAGAAAGGATAAAGATTATGTTATTGCTGTGCTAGAGGAATCTTATATTTATACAAGAATTGGGATTCAGAATCTCATAGATAGATTCCTTTTGATGATTGAGGGTAACAAGTTGATAATGCATCAAATGCTTCGGGACATGGGCAGAGAAATAGTCCGCCAAGAATCACCTAAGAAGCCTGGGAGGCGTACCCGGTTGTGGCACTACAAGGATTCATTTAATGTATTGAGAGAAAACGTGGTAAACATTTCCTTTCTGGTGTATACTTCCTTTTCTTTTGGACACTGCTAAGCTCTTCTCTAATTCCTTTTTCAGGGCTCAGATACTATTGAAGGTCTTTTCTTTGACATGAATATGGTAAAGGAAGACCAATCCTTCATGGGAAGTTCTAGCAGTGGAAGAAAGTGGCTGTTTACAGAAGTTAAGAGTTATCGGTTCGGTTTCTCCAGGCATCCCAACAAATTTTCTTCAAAAACCTTAAATGAGCTTGAATTGGGAACGAATCTCTTTACAATTATGAATAAGCTAAGACTGCTTCAGATAAATTATACCCATCTAAATGGTGCTTATAAAGATTTTCCCAAGAACCTGAGGTGGCTATATTGGAGAGGTTTTCCTTTGAAGTGTGTGCCAAATGATTTTCCATTGGAGAGCTTATCTGTTCTTGACATGCGGAACAGCTGTTTGGAAAGACTGTGGGAAGGAAGAAGAGTATGGCAATTGTTTTTGTGCTATTAGTTTCCTCCACTTTTAATGAAGTGTTGTAGAAATGGGTCTCATTACTTATCCTTTTCTTGTAATCTTTCTCATCGTAGGTGCTTCCACTGGTAAAAATTCTCAACCTCAGCCACTCTCATTCTCTTTTCAGAACTCCTGATTTTTCAGGACTCCCAATGCTGGAGAAGCTTGCTCTCAAAGAGTGTGTCAATCTAATTGAGGTTCATGAATCAATTGGAACCTTAGATGCTCGGCTCATTTTCTTAAATATCAAAAACTGCAAAAGACTTCAGAAGCTACCCAGAGAGATTTGCAAGTTAAAAGTTCTTAAAACCTTCATAATATCTGGTTGCTCAAATCTTGTAGAGTTGCCAAGAGACTTGTGGAGGATGCAATCCTTGGAAGTATTCCTTGCCAATGAAATCCCAATGAGTCAATTACCCTCTAAGAGAAAACAGAACCCAATATGGCATGCACTTATCCGGTCTTGGGTTCCGAAGCCAAAAAAAGTTCTTGAGCTTTCATGGGTTTGTTTACCTAAGTCATTGGTTAAATTAAGTCTATCTGAGTGCAACCTATCTGAAGTTGCTTTTCCGAGGGACTTCAGTAATTTAATGTCGTTGCAGAACCTAGACCTCAGTAAAAATCCAATCAGTTGTCTTCCAGATTGCATCAGAACCCTTTCCAGGCTCAACAATCTTGAATTAGGTTCTTGTACAATGCTTAAATTTCTCATAGACCTACCTCGCATCCACAATTTGAGTGTGGGAGACTGCACTTCCCTAGAAAGAGTTACATATCTATCTGTAGGGTGCCGTGCAAAAGTTTACCATATAAATGGCTGTAAAGAACTCACTGATATGGAGGGAAGCTATAAGTTGGAATCCATGGGAGGAGTTGAGAAAACAATGAAGTCGTTGGAATTAAGCATGTGGGATTCTGTCGGAAGCTTTGAAGTGAAATTGTATAACAATTCAACTCATACAGAAAGTAGAGGACCAGTAAAGGTATTTTCTCCTCTTCCATTCCCCCTTCCCACCCCAAAGAAGGGGTTGACGGATCTACTGTCATTTGTGTGGTCAAACTTCTTCATGTAACAGCTGTACCTGTTGGTTCCTTTTTTTGTTTTTATTTTGTCATTTTTAATGAGATTCTTCATGACACAGGTATTGTTTGAAAGCGGAATGATCAGCATGTATCTTCCCGGGAGCATGGTTCCTGATTGGTTTTGTTACAAGAGTGCTGGATCAACTCTATCTTTCACCGTCCCTTCATCTCCTGATCTCAAGATCCAGGGCATAACTGTGTGCTCAGTGTACACAATTGACTGGAAAGTCTTGATTAAGGGTGCCGAATTTTATTTGATAATCCATAATAAGCAGAAGAATGTGAAACTGATTTATAGCCCAACTTGCTATGGTCTTCCTGAAGGCCAAAATGAAATGTTATGGTTCACTCATTGGAAGTTTCTGAGTCAGCTGGATGCTGGTGACACCTTGAATGTCACAGTTTTTACTATGGTTGGTTTTATCATCAAGGAAATTGGTATTCACTTGATGCATGGTGAGCAAGTAGACATGATTTTTAACTCAAACAGTCAAGAAATGCAGCGAGATTATCCTTATCAGGGGGTGATGCCTATGAAACGTCAAGGGCTTGTAGATTTATACTGCTATGGCTATATGGGGGCTGGATTGGATTACATTTTGCCCTACATACCATGAGATCCATGAATGGGAATTCTTTGGTGGAGTTGGATGTAAAATATGACGTCTTAGACATCTCCCCAAGTATATTCTTTTCTCTTCTCATTTAAAATTTTATTTATGTGGAATTCGGATGACAATCAGTCCTTTCATCATATTATTTGTTATATTTTGTAATGATGACATTTCTCTAATTTTGAAGAAAAGTGTTCTGAAATACTCTATTAACTCGTTATAATTTTCCAATGCGAAGTGTCCAAACAAGAGTACTAGGAAGTAACGGACTAAGGAGAATTAAAGAATTCTACACTTCAGTACTAGAATAATACTACTATTAATATTACTGTTGTGTTCCTACATGCTTGAATCAGAAAGTAATATATATTATTAAAAGTGGGAAGCACCCAAGTTAAAAGTTGAATTACGAAAATGCCCTTATAAAGTAATACAATATTTATGGACAAAAATATAAATACACATTAATTATAACATTACATTCAACATTATTATTATGTGTTTATGGACAAAAATATAAATACACACACTCTTAAAAGTTAGGATTCTTATTTGTTTATTTTTTCCTATTAGTTTGCTTCATCTTGTTTGTTTAAATACCCAAAAAGACTTGCAGCCTAAAAAATGCCTCGGTTAAAAATATATTTTAAATGCACCTTACTGAAGAATGCTAAAAGTTACTAACAAGATAAAACTGAAACCACAATCAATTGCCACAAACTTTATGGAAGAAGTCTGAAAGTTTCCAGCAACTGTTACTATTTCTCTATTGATTTATAAAATAATTTTTCCTCAGCAGCTCATACATAAATTAATTTTCGTTAGTTGTTTCATATTTCTTCATTACTCATGTTTTCTTCTCATTACAATTGTAGAAGCTATTTGATTGGGGTAAGATAACGTGTCTTGATTGCAGAAGAAGATTCACCAGAGCTTTAACAATAATTTGGTATGAAGAGTGTTACAACATCAAATACAAAATTGTTCTTAGAATTCATAGAAACTCGAAAAAGGTACGATTCCTCCATCTCTTTTCATTTCTTGAAATTTATTTAATTAAATTATACAAACCTTAATCAATATTGAGAAAACTTACAACTTATAATACTTTTCGTATAATTTTTTTACTATCTCTGTATTTCTTTATAGTATAGGACGTGCTGATGTACTTACTTAGTATTATATTATTTCATAGCATAGCTCATCGATATTCAAAGAAAAAAATATACTGAAATATATGTTATATTTTAAAGGTTAAACCTCATTGATGTTCCAATAAAAAGCACGTAGTGACATCAAAACATATTGTGAAATGCTTATTCAGTGCCATATAAATGAAACAAAAACATTATCAGAGTATATATTTTGACTTATTGATTAAGAATCGACCACCCCTTATTTAATCTATAATAGATGCTAAATTTGTTAAGCTTCATTTTCAATCATCAGTCCAAAACAATTTCCATAATATAATTTTAAAAAATCAAGGGATAATGTTACATTCGAACAATAGAGAGCATGTATAATCAATCGAAGAGAAAATATTGATTCTTTAACAATTACTTTAAGGATCAAACGAAGCACGATCAAGTTCTCGTGTGATGGATAACATAAATATTAATAGAGGCTGTATGTGATTCAATCAAATCCTATTGATTTCCTTCGGTTATCAATTAGTATTAATGATGAATTTATATTAAAATCTTATGTAATTTTAAAAAAATGTTAAATTCTTATATAAATTAACATCAAGAGTATTCCTAATCCTCACCCGTCAGTGGATGAAATAATAAAGGATAACTACAAAGTATTATGTATATAGAAATTTCCTTCTGCAATAAAATCAGAGTCACTTAATTATTTTTGTATATTCATTTTTCTCATACTAATATATCACATGTTTGGACCTAATAACATAAAAATGTAACTTAATATGGTAATCACCCGATTATGTCGTGTTGTTCATCGAATGTCTAATCATTTGACATACAATAAAGGAGTTATTTGAATAGGTTGATAGTTCATCTGTTTCAAGTTGTATTTTTTGTTGAATAGTTTGTGATACTTATTACAATGTGATTTTGACATAACTTATATCGTATTACGTATTTAATGTTTTTAGGAGACTCACGTGTGAAGCACGTGTCCAGAACTAGTATGTGTAAATACTTGATCAAATTCAATAAATACTATAATGTGTTTTAATTTGATGCTTGTGTATAGTTTTGAGAACATTACTGTAACACGCGATAAATTATAACCAGAACAAACCATGAGAAATCCAATACAAAGATCAATGAAACCAGTCCACAATGCTGGATCATGAGATTTATTTATGATTTCCTAAATTCCAAACATAAGCACAAATGATAACAGCATACTAATTTAGTTGTTATCCCACCAGAATTGTGATTGGAGATAATCCACAACTTTCTTGTCAACTTGGAATGCTTTTGCAAGAACATCATCATTGATAGGTGGATCTGAGCCAAATATTGCATTTGCAATGGTGATGACTACTGGATTTTGGCTACTGAGTCCAGCAAATGCAACGGCCTTAGTCTTTCCCACATTAAACTGAAAATGTATCAGACCTATTGGAAAAACGAACACATCTCCGGGATGTAGAATCTTGGTAAAGAGTTTGTTCTTCATATTTGGACCAGGGTTCGAAAGAACAAATCCAACGTAGAGCGTGCCCTCAAGGACAACAAGAACTTCAGTTCCTCGAGGGTGAGTATGAGGTGGGTTGAGACCGTACGGTGCAAAATCAATACGAGCTAAAGAAATGCCTAAAGTGTTGAGTCCAGGCAAGTTGTTTACATTCACAGCAATCACAACAGATCCAAGTTGATTTGAAGTATTTCCAGGTACATTTAACCCTGGTCTAAAGAAGTCATCTGCAGTAACATCCTTTGGATCCTTGCAAAATTTCCCATTCACGAAAACTGTACACAGAAATCACAAGAAAAGCAGCAAGAAGTATCAAAATTACCAGCAGACTTGGAATCCTCAACAGCAACACAAAAGTCTTGTAAAGGACTAGGATCAGATGCATGGCTTATTGAAGTCACCACAGCCAATATTGCAATGGTTAATACAAAGTACTTGAGAGCCATAACAATTAGTTCAAACTCTGTGTATATATATGTTAGAGACAATTTAATTTATGTACTCTGTTTTATCTGTGAGAAATATGAGCAGAGTGTAGTGTCTATTTATAAGATAACATAACAATTTGATCAAAACAAAGTGTGGATTTGGCTTCTGCATGCATCACCCAAGTCTTCAATGGTGAATATTTAAACAATTATGTCATGAAGTTTCGTCAACAACGTAACTATTAATGACTAAATCTTACTAGAATATAATTTTTTGTGAACATTCGCAGTAATCGAAATTTGTTTAAATAAAGGGAAGTTGAATTGGTAAAATATCTCCCATCCCTTAAACTTTGATCTTACATTTTTTCATATCAAAGCATGTAAAGTACTATTGAAAGTTTTACCTTTTCTAATAACTTTCCAATTTTGACTTTGTTACTCCTTATTTCATAATACTGACCATTTCCAATGGCCCAGGGGATTAATTAGTCTCTGTAGTTGTTGAAGAAGGGTTTAGGATTTGGGTTTATTATAAACTAATCATCAAAGACTTGGTAGAAGCTACCTTAATTAATTCATTGTTTATTTTGGGGAGTTTAACTTGAGGACCCATTCAAGAAATTTCATCTATAAATAGCCACCATTCTCATGCAAAGTTTATCACCTTCATTCTCCAAGCTTACAAGACATAAAACTAAAGCAGCATCGTTTCAATTAATTAGAAGATTATTATCTAGTTAATTATGGCTTTGGCCCTGAAGTTTCTTGTTATAACCATTGCCATATTGGCTTTGGCATCTTCACCTAGCACTGCCTCAGACCCAAGTCCCTTGCAGGATTTCTGTGTTGCTGTTAATGACTCTAAAACAACTGGTAATTGAGATTAATTACTACTTAAGTTCTAACTTCGCGTTTTTAAATGAATACAAAGTGCTTGCTTTTCTTTTTCTGGTTTCTAATGTATTTGTTTTCATGCAGTTTTCGTGAATGGAAAAGTTTGCAAGTATCCAAAACTTGTCACGGCTGATGACTTCTTCAGATCAGGCCTAAACAAGCCTGGAAATACGTCAAATCAACTTGGATCAATTGTTACTGCTGTCAATGTCAACAATTTACCTGGGCTCAACACTCTAGGCATTTCTTTAGCTCGTATTGACTTTGCACGACGAGGTCTCAATCCACCTCATACACATCCTAGAGGAACTGAGGTTCTTGTTGTTCTCAAGGGAAGACTCTATGTTGGTTTCGTCCTTTCTAACCCTGGACCAAATATGAAGAACAAATTATTCACCAAGATTTTGAATTCTGGTGATGTCTTTGTTTTTCCCGAGGGTCTAATTCATTTTCAACTTAATGTGGGAAAGACTAATGCCATTGCATTTGCTGGTCTGAGCAGTCAAAATGCAGGAGTTATCACTGTTGCAAATGCAGTATTTGGCTCAGATCCACCAATTAATGACGATGTCCTCGCTAAAGCATTTCAAGTTGACAAGAAAGCCATTGATGATCTTCAAGAACAATTTTGGTGGGATAATAACTAAAAGTATAAACCAACAACTGATCATGTTTGTTTCTTTAAAAATATATACCATTCAATTAATGATGTTCTAATTACATGTTATGAAGATATAGTATCTGGGACTGATTTTTTCATTCAGGTTGATTGATGTTATTTGAATAAAGATTGGTTAATGAAATTAAATACAGTGTATTTTCATTTTTGAAGGAAATATAATGCTTGCTATTGCATTCGCTGGTCTGAGCAGCCAAAATGCAGGAGTTATCACTGTTGCAAACGCACTATTTGGCTCAGACCCACCAATTAATGACGATGTCCTTGCTAAAGCATTCCAAGTTGACAAGAAAGTGATTGATGATCTTCAAGAACAGTTTTGGTGGGATAATAACTAGAAGTATAAATCAACTACTCATGTTTGTTTCTTGAAAAAATATATACCATTTAATTATGTTCTAATTCATTTTATGAAGATATAGTAGTATTATTTGCTAATAAGATTGAATATCTGGTCTTTTGGACCAATTTTCTTTCTGGTTGATTGATGTATTGAATAAAGATTGGTTAATGAAATAAAATGTAGTGTGTTTTCATTCTTGAAGGAAATATGATGTTTCCCTAATGATTTAGAATATTGTCTTGTATGTGCTCATCGAAAGTTGAAAAACTGAAAGCTTGAAATCTACTCTGCAAATCAGTAGGTCAAATATCTTTGCTCAAAGTGGCAGCGGGAATTATCATAATAAGGCGAAGTTGAGTACTTGCAATGTTGAGAAAGTAAGGTTAGCATTAAGTATTAACCAACGAAAGGACGCATCTTACATTAATTCAAACAACTTTTGTTCGTCTTCAATATAACATTTGTATTGATTGACACAAGATACACGTACAACACTTGCTAGTTAATGATAGAAACAAATGTTGATTATTGTGGTTAAGGTTAAAACTTATCTCCTACACTAAAATGATACACAAACAATGTGTTTCACCTCCCAAGTACAACAAATTAATTAATTTGAGATATTTTTGCTGGTACCCAGAGACAAGGCTTTCTTCAACAAGGATTCACGACCCGGAAAACGACTTGGAGTTTTCGTTCTACCGCTACTAGTGTTATAATTAGTGGTGTCAAATGAGCGGATTGGATCTGATTTAGGCTGATTGAAATGATCAGAATTTGCTCTTCTTTGTGTAATACTAGTTGAGCCAGATTCATTCTGTCTCCTCTGTAACTTTACCCTTTCCCGTCTTCTCTCCCTATTGTCTTTTTCGCCATCCTCCTGATAACTATCAACTCCATCTGTACCCTTTTTATCTTCAACCCTAATTGAATTATTGGAGGAATCGGAAAGCCTTGGTATTCGACCACCTTTAGAGGTCCCAAGTAACTCAAAATCAATTTTGCTCCAACCCAACTTATCGTCATTGTCCCAACGGAATCTGGTGCTGATTTCCAGCAACTCGGAAACGGCAGTCTGTGTCCCTGCCGGTGAAACGTCGCCGTTAAGGAGATTTTGGGCGAACTCCCACTCAATTCGGTCCTTATAGATAGGGTCAGAGAGGACTTGATCTGCTAGCTGAGCCCATTCTTCAAAGTCGCGAGCTCGGAGATTCTTTGTCACCCATTTGAGGTATTTGGATGGGAGTGTTCCCAGCATTTTACCTTTGTATTTTCCAAAATCTATGACTCGGTCTCGCGCTGGAATAACTTTTCTGGACCCAATTGCTGAGATTGCCAAAGGAGTAATAGTCCTCCTCAACGACAAGGACTGTGAAGAAGGGGGGAAAGAAGTTATCTGAAAACGTGGAATTGTAGAAGATGAGACATTGAATGAGCACTGTGAGACTGGACCAAGATTCATCTCTCAAGGGGAGAGGCTGCAGGCCAAACAATCCAAATTTTGAGTGGATAAGAGAGACTATTTTCCTGATGCATTCAAAGGGACTAATGATTATTGGGGTTTGAGAAGAAATTATTACTCTCCCCGTCCCATTTTATGTGGTGTCATTTGACTTGATACGATATCAAAGCTAAATTATTTCTAATTATAGTAAGATGATATTTTTTTTTGGAAAAAACTAAAAATGAAGTCTGCTACATAAAGTAGAATAGGAGTACAAAATAAGTGATGTTTTTACCATTTCATTTTAAGAATGTTTTATGTATTCCGGAAGACATTAATGATGTTATTCCAATTTTAGCCTTATTTTAAGAATGTTTTATGTATTTCAGAAGGCATTAATGATGTTATTTCAATTTTAGCCTTATTAAGGGTAAGTTAGTAAAGTTACATCTTACTTTCTAAAACTAAGTAGTTTTCAAATTTTTGTAAGGATTGTGCCTAAGTTAATAACATTACTCCACTACTTATTTTGGAATGGATGGACTACTTTCCCGTGCCAATTAATGTGACATCATTTTACTTAACACAAAATTTTATAAAGAAGAAAGAATTTTTAAATTTGTGATCTAAAACAACATACCATTTGTGCAGCTATAATCAAGGGACCAAGGAAAAGAACCTATGTGTTTATAAATCATTCACCTCCAAGTATAACAAATTGTTTTAGCTCTGTCAATGTGTTAAAATCTATGTTACGGACTCTTCAAAAATATCGACGGGTGCGTATCGGATCCTCCAAAAATAGTGTATTTCTAAAGGATCCGACACGAGTGCGACAACATATTTGGAGAGTCCGAGCAACTTAGGTTAAAACTGCTGCACCATTGTTTCATTTCCTTCACCAAGATCTTTCCAACAGCTCCTCGAGCTCTGCTAGTGCAGCCTCTTCGTCTTCATCCTCATCATAATCGAAGATGCTATCATCATCATCCTCTTCTTCTGCCCCTGCTCCATCAATAGACCATATATAATACATGATCATCCAATAGTACACAAATGAGTATATGTCATGATAAAGTTTTTGATATGCAAGATATATAAGAAGCACATACCTGAACCTGCAGTCTGCACATCATAATCCTCGAACAATTTCTCGTTCAAGATTGCCCTCACAACAAAATCTGCATTGTCACGCATGACATAGTACTCAGGGTGAGAAAGATAGTAATGATGAACCGCCAACTGATATAAAGGCATGAAGCCTTCCATGACACTTTCTTCAGATTGATAATCACTAAGTGGAGTATGTCGCGTTGCAAGCACTCTTGTTTCACTAGTAGATGCTGAGGACTGGTCTAAATCTGGATTGTTATAAGCAAGTGTAGCTCCAAACTCTTTCATCTTAAAAGTTTTACCCCAACAAGGCAATGAAACATTAATCTGATCACCTGTTTGTAAATACTTGCCAAACTTCCAGTGGCATAAAAATGTCAACTTGTTGTTCTCTCCTGGAATGCCAATGAATGATGGGGCATAAATCCACTTAAGACCCTGTGTTATGTTTTGGACTTTGATGTCAATTGTATGAGATCCCACGAATTTACTAAAATAGCTAAATATACGAGGACTAGAACGTGCATAGACGATGCAAATAAGCAGTCCTGTTATCTTGATATTAGGAAGTGAATCCACATACAATGTCAACAATCTCTGTTCACTTTTGTTGCTGAACCAGCTTGGAACCTCATTTCCTGGAAAATAAGTACTGAAGATTCCAAATTCATAGAGTCCCTGATGCCAAAAAGGAAAAAGAAAAGGTACTTAACATTGGATTTGCTCAACAGGTTGAGGAGAAAGTTTACAGTAAGAAACAAAACTTACCTGCTGTACTGAATACATCCTTTTTGTTTTGGTGAACCTATTAAATATTTCCACCACTGTATCGAATGTGTTATCTAGGTTGAGAAGAAGGCGTAGAGCATTCAATATTTCCACTTCAAAATTATCAATGGGCTTTAGCTTGAAAATTCCTGAAATCTCAGTTAAGCTCTCACTTTCCATGACATCTAAAAAGAGAGTTGTCATTAGGTTTGGTAGATTTGTGACTGTTTCCAGTGATGAGCATCTAACTGCCTTTAGCTTAACAAGGCTTGACGGAAGCTCTGGCAGAGATAGGAGGCTTTGACATCCATCTAACCAAAGGTCTTGGAGCTTACCAAGATTTTTGATACTCTGAGGCAGGTTATAAATCAAGTTTTCACTTAGATTCAAGAAGCATAATGAGGGAAGGTTGCTGAGGCCGAAGGATAGAGCATCGTCTGTTAAGTTGCAACTAGAAAGACTTAAGCTGACGAGCGAACTTGATAAAGAAGAGAACGAAAACTGGTTAGAGCCTGGGGATCTTCTCAACTTTGATGACCAAGTTTTCCAGAGGGCACTCCATGAATTCATGTTACCACCCACCGGGGCTAGCTGTCCAAAATTCATTCCATCAGCCTGCAGGGTTGTCAATGATTCTAACTTGCCTAGCTCTATTGCTGACGTAACTAGTCTAGAACAGCCAGAGATAATAAGTTTTTCTAAGGATTTGAGCTTACAAAGGCTTCCAGGGAGTTTCCTTAGATTCTTGCAGTCTCTCAAGTTCAGATAGACAAGTCCGTCAAGGCATCCAATTGATTCATGAATCTTGACCAACTTAATGCAGTCTTTCAGGATCAATGTTTTCAGATGGGGAAGTCCAGAAAAATCAGGAGTTCTTTTTAGAAAATGGGAATGACTAAGGTTGAGGATCTTTAATGATCTAAGAATCTGCAACATGAAGTAAGAGGTAAAGTTAAGTCTGATTCAAAAGTCATTTTCCTGCAGTAGATCGAAAGGAAACACATTTATAGCATACCTTAATTCCCTCCCAGGCTTTTTCCAAATAACTTTTTTTCATTTCAAGGGCAACCAGGCTCTCTATAGGGAGATACTCAGGGATGATCTTCATATGAAATCCAGACCAACATAGTAATCTTAGGCCTTTCGGAAACAAACTATAGAATCCAGTTAAGCTTACATAACTAAGCTGGAGAATCCTCAGCCTCTGCATTCTGGAAAATGCATCAGCTTCAAATTCTATACTGTCTGAACCTTCTGTGCTGGCATCATCAAAATGCTCCAAATGCTTGCGGCGTTTTCTTGGATAGCCATGACCTATCGGACCAGCATCTTCACTGAAGAAATACGATCTGACAGATTTGACTGCTTTGGACAATTTGTTGGACATTCCCTTGTCAAGAACCAGACCTTCAATATTTTCAGTTCCCTGATAGAAGAACAACAATTGTTTATATATTACAGTCAATCATAATGCATATACAATACCAAAGAGTAAGATTTCTTACAGTTTTTGTACTCAATATATTGAAGGAATCTCTGTATCGCCAAACTCTGCTTCTTTTCTGAGGCTCCCAAGGGGATTCTAGGCGGATAATTTCTCTTCCCATATCTTGAATCAATGAATGCATTTTCAGCTTATCCTTGTCCATTTCTATCAGACATCTATCTGAAAGAATCTGAATTCCTACTACTGAGAAAAAACCACATCCATCGAGTATAGTAACTGCATAGTCTCTATCCTTTCCCACAAAGAAACAGACAATATCAAGGAATATTTTCTGTACATCATCATCATCTGGCAGCAAATCGTAGCTGATTCTAAGTTTTTCCAAGATCTTATTGTCAGGGATTGCCTTTAACTTCCTTAATGCACTCTCCCACACCTCTATACTTCTGTCACAAAGAGAAGAACCTAAAACTTTGAGAGCCAAAGGAGTTCCTTTACAATGAAGTATCACCTTTTCTGAAAGGTCCTCATGATCTTCGGAAGGTTTTTCTTTTCCAAAAGCATGCCAGCTGAAGAGTCGAATCGATTCTTGAGCATTCAATGGCATGACCTTATACATCTTACAACTGCAGACCTCACTAGCATCAAACAGGTGCTGATTTCTGGTTGTTATGATTATTTTACTACCTGGATAAAACCATTCTCGCATCCCAAGAACCGCATTTAGCTGATCTCGATCATCCACATCATCGAGAACAAGAAGAATTCTTCTGCAATGGATGGCCTCTTGAATCTTGATGACTCCTTCATCAACATTGTATATCTTTTCAACCTTCTTCCCTAGAACATTTGAAAGAAGTTGTCTTTGTAGACTTACCAGACCATCATATCTTTCTGAAGTTTTATTCACATCAGCAAGAAAGCTGCTGCCATCAAATTTGTCAAAGTTAAGATTATAAGCAGTCTTGGCAAGGGTAGATTTACCTAGCCCCCCCATACCATATATAGCCATAATATCAACACTAGTTGATCCATCCTGCAACCAGAGATTTATGTCTTTAACTCGAGAATCTATTCCAACGGGGTGGAGAGCTACACTCAAAACTGCACGATTTAGTCTTCCTGCAACCACCTTCACAATCTCCTGAATAAACCTTGACTCACACCTGAAAATTACAATGAGTTCCATTTTCAGTCACATGAAAGATCATCTTAGAAAAGGGAATGAAACAATTTGTAATTCTAGTAAGAGCTTACCCATCAGATTGATTCTGTAAGACCATTCCTCCCAAATCAGCAACTTCTGTTAGAGAAGCCTTCCATTCCTTCACCTTCTGCAACCATTCCAGTCTCCTTTCCTCGGTCCCGGATCTATATCTCTGTTCATACATTAAAAAATCTTGTTCAAAACTTCCTTTTTGTTTCCTGACTTCTGATGGATCCACATCATAAAACACAGGTAAAACGAAACGTCCAAAAAGTTTCTTGCTCTCAAGTATAAACACAAGTTCATCAAGGCACCTCTCTGAAGAGGTATAGTCTTTTGACAAAACAACAATGAGAATTCTTGATTCTTGAATTGTTTTCTGCAATTCTTTGCACCCTTTTTCATCTATATCAAGTTCATCAACACTGAATGCGCGAATACCAGCATTTGATAAAGCTGAATGAAGATGATTTCCAAAAGACTTGCCTGTTTTTGTTGCCAAACTCAGAAATGCATGAAAAGCAAACTGAGACATTTTTTGTTTTTGTTTTGATCAATCACAGATA